TGGTTAGCAACAAATATTGAATGGGCATGGTCTAAACGAAATATTGATAATGATAATAACAATAATAATACTCCATATGATTATCCAGTTTATCTTAATTTAAATTTATATAGAAATATGAATGAACCACCAGCTAATGTTCATTATGAATTTTATGATTATCGAACTGATGTATATTTAAATGAATTTGATGTTAATTTATGTTATCGATCAAATCAATTATTGTATCTACATTTAGCATTTCAACTTAAAATAAGAAATCAATCAACAGCAAATGATATTGAAAATATTTTAATTAATCGGTTAATCATTTATTTCTTTGTCTTTTTTTTTCTGTTACTTATTTATTAATAGATTTGTTTTTTCTTTTCTATTCTTTATAGACGACGTTTGACTGAAGATATTCGTTCACAAATGATGAATATAACGTCAATAAAATATTTACGTATATCTCAACTTGAACTTGATCATCATCCAAATGAACCAGGTCATAATGATACACTCTATTGTATATTTACTTTACTTGATCAAACACCATTTGTTGATCCAAATTCTGAAATTCAATTACTTGATGCTAAAAGTAAACTTGAAAATAGTATTAATAATGGTGAATTTTACTTTAATACTGATGATAGTCTTTCAATTGAAGCTGTACGAGATTCATTAGAAGATGTTCAATATTTCTATGTATTTAATCCTAATATTAATATTAATCAAATCGATTATTTTTTTAATACAACTATACATGTTAATCGAACAATTGTAGAAACAATTGAAGAAATTCATGAAAAAATTCAATATTCAGATGGTGCACAAGCTGGGGCAGTTGTTGGTGGAATGTTTGTAGGAATTTTAATCGGAACAATAACTGTTTTTGTTGTTATACGTATGATAAAAAGACAAACAAATAGATCTCCGAGCGGTGGTCTTACATTTCGAAATATTAGTTTTCGTGTTGGAAATAAGCGAAAACAAGAAGAACCAGGAATTATTCATATGGAACATCCACTCGATGGTACAGAACAAACATTCAGTTAATTTTTTTTTTAAATATTTTATTAAATTTTCTTATTATCAGAAAAAATAAATTGTGTATTGTAAAAAAAAAACAAGTTTTTCTATTTGAATGAATTTTATTTATCCTAAATAGTAATTCACAAATTTTTTCAAATGGAAGTATATAAAATTATATTCATATATTTGTTTTCATACTCATATTTCGTAAATTGCAAGTCAAACGAAAGTGTATTGACATAAAAGTAAGACGATATAGTTATGAAAACCCAACAAAATAATTTAATACAAAAAAAAAACCCAAAATCGTCGATTACGAATAGAATTCAAACAATGAAAAAAAAGTATAGTATTAAAATCAATATAATTTAAAAAATAAAATGTTTGTTTCATTGCTGAGATAAATCAATGAATGCTCAATATTCATACAGCTGAACGAATAAAATATATATCGATAATTAACACATTCGATCTTTTCTATAAACCAAGAAAATATGATACCAGTGCAGTTTTTCATATATTCAATCATTTTCATCTCATCTGAATAGAGTACGGACTGAATATGAGCTTTTCTACGATTCAATTATCATAAATGCTAGGCGTCTAAAAATTTGTTGAAACATATGTTGTAGAAAATACAAATCATAGCCCAACAAGACTATTCTAAAAGTAGATTCGAACATATAATCGAACAATACTTGAGATTCGACGAATCTCCCGATGACAAACTACAATCTAACGACAATTAGATATCATTTTAAGCAGTCTAAATAGCAGTGTAGTGCTTGTTCGTTCGATATGTACTTGAAACTAACCGAAGAAAAGCGAGTTGGCTAATCTGAAGCGTCGTCAACATATTCAACGAAGTCATGTTTTGATAAGTTATATTTCATTATATTCGATCTACAACTTTATAATTTTTCAAAATTATATTGAAGCACAATGTACACGAAAATACAAAGTATTCCGATTATTTATCGATTAACATCATCTATTAATGTTCTTTAAAATTTATTAGATTGTAAAGTAAATTAGAAATAATTTTGTTTAAAAATGATTCTAATATCTTTAAACTATAATTTCATTTTTAGTTTAAATACAGATTTCGGTAAATTCAAATTTAAGAACATGTCAATTACATAATTTCAGTTTATTTTATAGTTAAAATTGCGAAAATTTATAATTGAAATAAACTTCAATGATGATGTGAGAAAAAATGAATTATTTTTTAATTTATTTTTGTGTTTAACTTCTTTTCAACGTAAAATAATTTTCCTAGATGTCAACGATAAGAAAAAAATTTTGGAAAAATTAAAACAATTTTCAATTAGTTTTATTCCATTTTATGTAATTAATTTTGTATTCTATTATACAAATTTCTATTCATAGTGAAATCTGAAAAACTCTAAATAGCATCTTAAAATATTTACTGGCATGTAGATGCTGATCAATTAATCGTATAGTTCAATCAGCTAGGCTATTGGTGGTAAGTGATATAAAAGACTAGACGCAGCAAACAGAATGATGGTCACTGATTAAGCAGTAAGAACGTGAATTGGGGACTACAAATAATTTTATACTAGTCATGTACTAGGACTTCCTGACAAAAGGACTAGATAAGACCTGCCGTCACGACTTGATGAACACTTTTATCCGTTCTTTGCTCTCAGACCATCTTAATATAGTATAATTCTTTTTTAATGAAACGGATGTTATGATAAATACTAATTGTCTTCCTTTGGTTTTTTATACCTGGAAAAGAAAGAAAAAATTCTATTAAGTTGAAAGTACATTCATTATGTAATGCAATAACCTTTGATCGGTGCTTCAGAGAGAAACTTAACTATTCAGGTTTATGCTACTTCACGTTAATAGAAGGCTCGAACTAAAGTATAAATATGTTTTCTTCCAGAAAAAAAAGCGAAATCTTTTTTACGCTTTTTCTCTCTTTATGCTTTTTTTTCGATTTAAGAGAGCATGCCAAGATGCACGGTATGACAGAGTCCTCTTTTTGAATTAAGCTTCCTTACTACTATATAAAAGAGTACTCTTATAATTAGAAAACCATTTTTTGAGAGTTTTTGAAGACATCGAGCTTTTCATTTCGTTTCTCCACTTAAAAAGTAAGAATTAATACAATGACTCTCTCATATCTTGCATCCTGACATGTTCTTTCAAATAAAACAAACTAAGTATGTAGAATGAAGGTCCACAGAAAATTTTGAATTGCTAAATGAGCTATTTTTGACTCTTCTTTACTGAATATTTTCCGAAAACATCATGATATAGAGCTGAAAATTTCATGTGATTTGAATGTACCTGACTCAAGGTCGTTTTTTTTTGAGGAGGAGACACTTTAATAAAAATTGGTTTTCAGCTAACTAAACTTTTGCCGTCAAAAATGAAAAATATCAATCGAATTTCAAGAATTTTTCTCTCTTAACATCATGAGATGGAATAAACAGTCAGTTCTTATTCATTATAATTTTCTTTTCATTCAGATAATCTCAATCTGAGTATCAGTAATGCTCAACATTACTCAAAATAAATGCTCATATAAATATTCTGACGTCTAGCTCTTATAATAACTAGGAAATTAGGTAAGTCAAGTTTCTTTACGCTATTGATTATCAATTTGAATTTGTTTTTTGATAAATCAATAATGCAGCAAATGAATGTCACATATTTTCTCTTAATGCTAAATTACAAAAAAAAAATATTGACATACTAAAAGATAAAGAATCTACTTAATATGTTCATCAAATTCATCTCATATCGACTAAAATTAAAAACTTCAAGTCTAGATTTATTGATGATCACTGATCTCGAAATCAGAAGTTTAAGAAAGATGTATTACACCATAAATGAATGATAGTTTTCTGTTTGATCTATGAACAACTTCGGATTATTCTATTGAAAATACTAATTCTGAGTCTAATCATAATAAACATGAAAAAATGTTGTCTGTGTTTTTTTCTTCTTTATTCAATCTAATTCTTTGTATGCCAAAACATATATTCATCCATTCGATACACAACGATAGGTTCTCATCCGAATATGATATTTATTTGGTTATTAGTATTCAAATATTTTTTTTCTTTTCATCCGTTGTTGATCGATTAGTTTTGATGGCATCTGCTTTACATAGTTGTTATTTGAGTCTTTAAAGCAAACGAAGCAAACATCTATTGAAGCTTTCTTTATCAAACTATATAGTATGTATTGCAAAGATTCATAATTATCTTTTTTTTTTATAGAGATTGAAACTATGAAAAAGAAACATATATATATATATATATTTCGCGCAGTTTATGCAAATATTGTAATTCTTTAGTGAGAAAATTGTTTTATACAAAGTTTTTATTATCAATCTAATAGAAAACATATATCAATAATTGTATTCAAACAAGCATATGTTACAAGAAAAAAAAAACGAAGCTTTTAATGCACGGAAATAATCTATATTCACGTATGAAAAATAAAAAATTCTATAAAAGTACACTCCAGTTTCTGACTATTAAACTGTTGTGCAAAAAAAAATTCATCATGTGAATGAAGCAATATTTATAATTCTCTAGAATAAATAATCTAATTGTTTTTTGTAAGAAAAAAAAAAGCCTTCTGTGACTATATATATATATATATAAAACTCCCGGATATGAAAATGAATGTAACTTCCGCTTGCAACACATTCTGTTTCATTTTCTATTTAATATAAAATGATTCTTTACTGTTGATTAGCGCCCTCTCATGACATATTCTAAACGACGTCAAAACTGATTCATTTTAGGAAAAGAAAAGAAAGAAAAAAGCGTATCAAGTGATGATTAATAATAATCAAGAATAAAAAGAAAACAAATGAAAACCATATCCATAATCTTACCCATATTACTTTAAATAAATAAATAATTAATTACATACATAGATAATAAAACTTTATCTGTCTATTATTTTTCAAATTCATTTCAGATTAAAATTACATAGATATGGGTTGTGTTCTTGGAGCAGTAAGTTTTTTCGATTTAGATTTTTTTTTCTGTAATATAATAAGTTTTTTTTTTTTTAATTTTTTTTGTCTAGCTTGGTTGTTGTTGTGGTTCAGCAGCTTGCAGTCTTTGCTGTGCTTGTTGTCCATCAACACGTAATTCAATAGCAACACGTTTAGCTTATGGAATACTTTTACTTATTAGTATGATTATTTCATGGATTTTTTTAATACCTGGTCTTGCTAATACACTTGCAAAAGTAAATAAATTTTTTTTCTAAATAGAAAATTACAAGGAAAGAAAATCTTATTATGTAAATTAGATTCCGGCACTTTGTAAAGGTAGTACAGTAGGTGGTGTGGAAATATTTCAAGGACAAATATCATGTGAAAAAGTTGTTGGTTATTTAAGTGTATATCGTATTCAATTTTCATTAGCTTGTTTTTTCTTTGTAATGATGATATTAATGTTATGTGTTAAACGATCAAAAGATCCTCGAAGTGGAATACAAAATGGGTAAAAAGAAAAAAAAACTAACGATTTATATATTAGTTAGAAAATTTTATTTTTAAAAATTTTTTTTGATTAGATTTTGGCTTTTTAAAATTTTAATTATTATTGGCATATGTATCGGAGCATTTTTTATACCAAATCAAGGATTTGCACCAAGTAAAAAAGAAATTTCTAAAATGAAAGATTAATTATTAAATGATTTTTGAATTTTTAGCTTTAATGGTTATTGGAAGTATTTGTGGATTTATATTTATATTAGTTCAACTTATTCTTCTTATTGATTTTGCTCATAGGTTCAATTGAAATAATTTTTTTTTTTGTTTAATATTGGTTTTCTTTCTTATTTGTTTGTATAGTTGGAATGAAAGTTGGGTTGCAAAAGGTGAAGAAGGTAGTAAAAAACATTATTGTGGTCTGATATTTTTTACAACAGCATTTTATATTCTATCAATTGCTGCGATTATCCTTCTATATATTTATTTTGCATCGAAACCATCATGTAGTCTTAATATATTTTTTGTAACAATTAATTTTATATTATGTATTATTGTTTCTATTGTATCGGTTTTACCGGTTGTTCAAAATTATCATTCAACATCGGGTTTATTACAATCATCATTTGTTACATTGTATGTTATTTTTCTAACATGGTCAGCTATAACAAGTGAAAAACCAGGTAGTAATTATATTGAAATGAAAGTAAAAACAAACAGAAAAATTATATTTTGTATTTAGATCCAATTTGTAATCCATCATGGTATGGAATAATAAAAAATGATAATTCAACAATTGTTGAAGCAACTGGAAATGGTTCAGTTGGTGTTTCATCAATAATAGCAATGATTATTTTCTTTGGTTTAATAATTTATTCAGCGTAAATTTATTTAATGATTTTGAAATGAAAATGAAAGATGAAGATATTTTTTTTCTAGAATGACAAGTTCAACAAAATCTTCAGGTGGAAAATTATTGGGTATTTCAGGTAATGAAGAAACAGGAACTTCTATTCCAAAATCTGGTAAAGAAAAAATTAAATTAAAAAAAATTTCTGTTTTTGTTATCATATTTTTGCAATTAATTAGAAGGTGGTAAAAGTTATGATGATGAAGAAGAATCAGTTGCTTATAATTATTCATTATTTCATTTTATGTTTTTCTTGGCATCATTTTATGTTATGATGACATTAACAAAGTAAAAACATTTTTCGTTGAAGATATCTTTTTATATTAAAGTTTGTTTTTTGTTTTAGTTGGCTTAAACCAACGAATGATTTTTATAGTTTTCGTCAAAGTGATTCGGCTGTTTGGGTTAAAATTGCTTCATCATGGACATGTTTAGTACTTTATTGTTGGTCTGTTATTGCACCATGTGTATTTCGCAATAGAGAGTTTTCGTAAATATATATACGCCCGGAAAAAAAGCTGCAGTCTGTATTTTAGCTAAGTTCTTACCATAGAAACGCATTTAAAAAGAAACTAATTACATATTATGAAAGCCCGTGGAATTTTCTATCATCCCGTATAATTATGTTCTAGTTTGTATTTATGTTTTACCAAAATAAATTGAGTGTAATGAAGGCACCCTCATATCCAGATTACCACAGACATGATTTATTCATTGTCATCAAAATTAGTTTATTGAATTTTTCATCACTATAAGATTACATTTTTAGAAAAGTAATTATGTATTCTGACAGAGCGTGAAATTCTCTATCATTCCATATAATTACCTATTTTATTGCATTCGTTTATTGCAATGTATAGATGCAAGATAGTTAACAAATTTACAGGATGGTAGAGAATTTCATGCTCTATCAGAATGTATAATTACTTTTCTTAAAAGATAATTTTATAGCGATGAAAAAGTCAAAAAAACTAATTTTGATGACAGTGAAAAAATCATGCCTTTGAGAATCTGAACATGAGAGTACCTTCGTTATGCTCAATTTATTTTGGTAATACATAAGTGGAAATTAAAACTTAATTATTCAGGCTGATAGAAAACTCCATGAACTTTCAGAATATGTAATTAGTTTTTTTAAAATACGTATTTATGGTAAAAATTTAGTGGCAATACGGCCTGCAGCTTTTTTTTCTGGGCGTATATGTTATATATATATATATATATATATATATATGGCAATGACAAAAAACGCAATGAAATTTTTTTTTTTTTGAATGATCTTTGTGGCAATAATGAAATTTTTTCGAATGATTTTTGTAGCAATGTTGTATTATTTATGCGTGTACTTATCAGACATCTATTCATTATATATATATTGTATTGTTCGTCAAAATTCATATCTCTATTAATGCATGTTACATTAAATAGTCGTCATTTGCTTGTTTTTTTTGCTTTTCTTTTTAATATTGTATAAATAAATAAGTGAAAAACATATGACAAGAACAACAACACAAACAAACTTATAGAATCATTCCGTATGTTTCCTCGGTAATTCTTCTTCATCATCGGAAAGTTCATCAAAATCATCTTCATCCGATGAAAAATATATTTCAGCACCTGCAAATACATATCGTCGTGGTGGATATGATATATATGATGAATCTTCATTAAATAATGAAGAATTTTTAAATGATGATAATGTTCGTTTTCGTGAAGTTGATATTTTAGATTTTAATGTTTTCGAATGAATTGATGATAAATTTTCTTCTGATGATATTATTACTGATAATTGATTATCAGTATCTGATGAAATTTTTTGTTTTTTTCTTTTTTGTTGTTTTTGTTGTCGTAAATTTTCATAAGAAATTTCATTTAAAAAATGTTGATTTTGATTTTTTAATGGTTGAAATAATGGATCAATTTTAGCTAAACGAAGACATAATTCATTTATAATAACATCACAATTTCCTAATAATTCAATATCAAATGTTTTATGTGGTAAACGTTCACGATTAATTAATATTTGTGGTATATCTCCAGGTAATAATTCTGATACAAGTGAAACAGGTTTAACTTTTAAACTTGAACCCATAACAATAAGTAAATCACATTTATTTTTATCAATTGATATTGTTTTATGAAAATCATCTGGTAATTGTTCACCAAAAAAAACAATATCCGGTTTAAGTATTGTATTATTAATATCCTTAGAACATTTAGGACAATATGGAATTTTTTGTTGTAAAATTTCATTTTTAATTTCATCACTTTTAACTGTATAATGACAAATACGACATGTTGCAGTTGAAAATGATCCATGACATTGTATAAGACGTGTTATTGAACATAAATGTTCTAATGAATCAATATTTTGTGTATAATTACGTAATAATTTATCTTGTCGTTCTAATTCAGCTATAAAATAATGTGCTAATGATGGTTGATATTGTCCTGGCCAAATTTCTTTTGCAAAACGAAAAAATGGTCGAGGATCATGAGTAAAATAATTTATATCAAACATTGATTGTGGATTAGGTAATTCAGGAAATTCTTCACGTAAACGAGCATAGATACCATTACGTGAACGAAAATCAGGAACTAAAAAAAAACAAACAAACAAAAGATTATTAAAGATTTTGTTTTTTTTTTTATTTATGTAACTAATTTACTTCCACAACTAACTGATATTCCAGCTCCAGTTAAAATAAGAATATTTTTTCGTGTACGTATTAATTCAACAGCATCATCAAGAGTTTTATATTGTTCAAGTGATTTTCGTTTACGAATTGGTAAAAAAAGGTCCATAAGAATTTCATAGAGAGTTGAAGGAGAAATATCATCTGGTAAACCGGGTAAGATACGAGAAAGTAATGGACGTAAATCAATACCAGCACGCATCTGTTCATCAAGCCAATCAAATGTTAAACCAATTGGAAATTCACTGTCATCATCATCATCATCATCATTATCATTATCATCACTATCAGAAATAGTTTCATAAGAATCTGAACTTGACGATTGTTTACTTGATAATAGTTCTGGTGGATCAGGAATTTCAATACTCTGATTAGATGTTTCATTTTGAACAGTTGATGGTTTAGATTCTGATGAAGTCAGATTAATTATTGGATTTGATGACATTTCTATTCTATTGATTTTGATTTATCTTTAAATCAATGAATCAGTGAATGAATCAATGTATGACTAATTTAAGATAATCAAACATGATGTTGTTATTTAGAAAATTTAAGAATTCATTTACTTAGAATCTTTTTATTTTTTTCGTTGAAAACATTTTATTGAAATTTAGAAAATAATTTAGTTTATTCACTTAGGACTAACGACCTCTAGTAAAAATTGAATAGAGGTTGTTGCTAATATACATTGATTGACTTGAACATGAGCGATGGTAGAAAAGAAAAATGAAAAATCGATTCAGTTGATATCTGAAAGAATTGAACATGGCTGAAAAAGATTTATATCATTTAGTAAATAAAAATACTTTATTTTTTGAGAAATTCTATTTTAATTATTATATATATAGAGTAAAATTTTTTATTATTTTCGTGAACGATATTATAATCAAGCATATGTAGTAGCAAATGAAGGTTTAAAACGTTTTGTTAATGATGGAATACTTCAATTTTATTCAGCATTAGCACAACTTATGGATGGTAAGATTAAAAACAAATAGTTTATGATAATTTAAATATATATTTCTTTAACTTATAATGAAGATTTATTAACTTAAAAATGAATTTGTTTTTTGCTCAAATTTGCAATAAATAACTATGGCATATATTTGAATAGTACTTTTTTAAAAGTAAAATATGAGAATCAAATGCTAAAAATAAGTAGTGGAATATTAAAGGTGATTAGCAAGAGATTTCGATTTTTACTGTCATAAATAATCTTATTATTGGAATAAGATATAGTTAATAATTTTGATAAACATATTAAAATGTTTATTGAATAAAAAAATTAGACATATATCGAAATTCTTGATTTCTGAAAGATTTTAGAATATTTTTATGAGGCAAGTCCTTCAATCGGTTTTGGATCGAGATTATGTACATTATATATAACTGATTGTTACGGAAGTACTGCGCTTTTATGGAATTTTTAAAATAAGTCCCATGATGACTGTCAGAAATACTAGAAAAAGTAATGTTAGAATTTCGACTTGCAACTTTGCATAGAGATAGGTGTTAAGAAGAGTAGTTTATTGTAAAAACTTCAAGTCTTTTGATTTATTTCTATCGTGAAATAAGAACATCAAATCTGTAGTTTTATATGTGTGATGTAAAAGACATACTATTATCATAGCTGCATCTTAGAATAGGACACTGGCAAGATTTGAAACATTTTCAACAAAACTATTCTTGTTAAGACGTGTCTCTATGCAAAAGTTTCAAGTGGAAATTTAAAAATCAGTTTTTCTGATGTTCTTGACAAAAACCACAGTATTTATTTTGAAAAATACTATCAAAGTGCAGTATATATGTAGAAATAAACTATGGATAAGAACTCTTTTCCGAGTATTTATAGCTAATTTGTGTCTACATAACGCACACAGTCTCAACTCAAAAGTGATTGAATAATTGGAGGACTTTCCTCGTTAGTTTCATTTGGATTACTCGTAGTTAATTTAATGATAGTCAATAATAGAACTCTATAGTAAGGATGAAATCTAACTTGAAAAATAAAATTATATTTATTCTGATAATTAATAAGCATTCTAACTAAGTATAATTAGAGATCAAAAGTTTAAAAAGCATCTTTTGAAGATTTATCGGAGATGCCAATATCGAATTATTGAAAATATTTTCTAATGAATAATTAAAATTGACTTGATAATATCTTTAAACATGAATTCATATTTGAAAATTTTAGTACGATTACACGAATCAATGCGTGAATTGGAACATTTACGTAATAAACCTGAATTAACAGTAGCAACTCTTCTAGCATTAATACATGCTCATAAACAACATAAAACACCAGGTATGAATATCAAAAAATTTTCTCCCTCATCTATTACTAAATTTATAATCTACAGATCGTGAAGCAATTGCAGAATGTGAAGTTAAAGTTAAAGAATTACGTAAACAAGTAGATGATACGGTAAGACAAAAAGAATAAACAAAATTTTTCTTAATATAAAAATCTATTTACTTTTAAATCTAGGCTCTATTTTATGCTGCTCATACATTATATATTATTGGTAAAGCTGATAAAGCAACGGAATATATTGAACGAGCAACTAAACAAAATCCAACAAATATTTTTGTAATAAAAATCATTTTCTTGTATTCTAATCTTAATAATTAATTTTTAATATTTTTGTTTTTATTAAATAGGCTATAACTTTAAAAGGTTGGATATTAATTGCTAATGATGTTGCTAAAGAATCGAAACAATATTTTGATGCTGCTTTAAAGTAAATTAATATATAAATTGAATTGACGTTTTTCTTTTTTTTTATTAAACTATTCATATAGACTTGAAAGTAATTTTCCTGATGCTGCATTTGGTTATGCTAAATATCGTGAACTACGTTCAAATTTTTCTCAAGCACTTGAATATGTTAATCGTGTATTAGCAACAAAAAGTGATTATTTACCAGCTGTATTAGAAAATATGAAATTACAATTATGTATGCAAGATTGGGAACAATGTGAAGATGTTGCTCAAAGGTAATTTAAAATAATCATAAAAAAAAAAGATAATTTTTTATATTATTAAAATAGAGCATTTCGAATTGATTCAAATTGTGTTGAAGCACATAAATATCATTATCTTTATTTATTATGTAAAGAAGGAAATTATACTGAAGTAAGTTTTGAAATTGAAATAATATATAATTTAATTTTATCATTTATTATTATTATTTTTAAAGGCTCAACAAGCTTATAGTCGACTTTTACAAGCAATTGATATATCTGAACCAAAAGGTGCTTGGCAATATTATGAAATTTCTCAAGTTGTTGCAAGAGTGGTATGAATATATTTTTTTTTTCATTTTAATTATATAAATTAAAATAAAATATTTACAGTGTGGACGAAATCCTCAAATTCTTCAACAAAGTGAATTACTTCTTCAACGTGCTCTAGAAATTGATTCAACAAATGCAGATTATCTTATCGAAGGTGGTTATCAAGCATTAATGGCAAATAAAATGAATGAAGCTATTAAATTCTATAAATCTGCAGCAAGAACACAAGCAGAAAATATGGCTGCTGTTTATGGTTGAATTGTGTAAAAAAAAGAAAAACTATTTTTAACTAAATTATATTTGTAGGTATTATTCATTGTCAAATATTGGAAGGAAAATATGCTGAAGCAAAACAACAAATTGAATTTCAACATGAAGTTCAAAGTGGAAATGCTGCAGTAAGCGAAGAGTCAATGAGCTTTGAGTTGAAACATTTTCCTTTTTTTTCTCAAAGAGAAACCAAATCAACTGTAATATTAGAAATCACGTTTTTAAAACCATTCTCATTTGGTCTTCATTATGAATATGTGAAAAAACTTGTAGCTATTAGCAACTAGAGGGAAGGACCAAAGGTCACTGGGTATATTTTTATAGCAATCGAGGATGAGTCCTTCCTTGGAGTTCTTTAGCAGCGAAAAAGTGCACTGAACGCCATTAGCACTAAGACTTAGAATGTTCTGGAAAGGATGATGGTGATGTATTGATTTACCACAGTCATCACACAATCAACATAAAAAGCGTGAACTAATCAAGTTATAACTTTGGAATGCGATCACTATCAATATTTTTGAAGATACTTTCCTGTTATTCCGACCACTGCAAGGTGAGGATGAGGGTGGTCAGGATAACAGGAAAGTACCTTCAAAAATAGACCGTCAGCAAAAGAAAGACTTTCTATTCGAAATGCAGAAATAAATAAGAAAAATCTTTTCCCTGACCTATGGGTTATTCTTGGAAAACAACTTAGCATGTTTGGTATTAGTATATTATCTAAATAGTTTAGTTACAAGGGAAATACTAGCATAATATGATAACAATTGAATTGAAGACAAACTTGAATCTATTGGAAGAAATCTATATCTTACATTCTTTGCTTATCACGCTAATACTACATCCATATCAAAAAAGACTAATTCCTATCTGTTAACCGATTGAAGGAAGAACTTTATAGTTGTATCACTCTTCACAGATAAAGCTCAGCTATCCAACATTTCACATTAGAAATCACATCTTTTGTGACTCAAAACATAATCAAGTAGTCATCTAATGATCTATTCCAATTATTATTATGAATTCTTCTTCGTTTATCAAAATAAATCTCTCTTAAACAAATCATAAGATAGTTTTATGATAATCATATTTCGTTAGTTAAATAAAATTCATTAACTACTTTTCTCTATAGAATATTCTTGTATACATGAAATATTTTATTTTATTTTATTTTTTTAGGAACTTGCCCATCTAAGAGCTATACTAGCTAAACATGAAAATGTTCTAACATCAGATCAAATTGTACAATTATTTGATGCAGCTGCTGAACAACATTTTAAAAATCTTCGAGTTTGTTTCGAATGTCTAATATCAAAAAAAGAAATCTTATTTAATAGTTTTTTTGTTATAGGGTTTACCATTAGGTAAAAAATATTTACTTTGTTTAAATCCAGATTTTATTCTTGAAGTTGTTCGTGAATATATGAATAATACAACTTTAAAAGTAATAAATTTAAATAAATCTAAAAGAAAAATTATATTTTCTTTTTTGAATTCATAAAGCCAATTGAATCTGGTCAAACACTTGATCCATCTCTTCGAAAATCTAGTGGTATTTTAGAACAATTAACTAAAGCTGTACCAGGTTTACTTGAAGGTCTTTTTCTATTGGCTAAAGTAAAATATTTATCTGGTGATACAAATGAAGCTAAAAATGTTCTTCGTCGTATAATTGATCAAGAAGCAACATATTCTGAAGCATATATTCTTCTAGCACAAGTCCATACACGTGAAGGTAATACACATTTAGCATATGAAGCATTAGAAAATGGTTTATCATATAATTTTGAATTAAAAACTCATCCAATATATCATTTAATACGTGCAAGAATATTAAAAAAAGAACAAAAATATGAAGAAGCTTGTAAATTATTACAAAGTGCACTTAATTTACCTGGTGTTAAAAAACGTCAACAAACTGAAACAATAAAAACACCACGAACAAAATCTGAACAAATGATTTCAAGTGTACCTATATCAATGCAAGATCGTGTTAGTGTTTATTTAGAATTAGCTGAAACACAATTATTACTTAATCGTGTACATGAAGCAAGTATATTATTACAAGAAGCATCAACAGAATTTCAAGGTACAAGTGAAGAATCAAGAATATTATTAACAAATGTTGATCTTGCTGTAAAACGTGGTGATATTAATCAAGCTATTGAAACTTTAATACAAATTAAACCTGATCAAACATATTATGTACAATCAAGAGAAAAATTAGCAGAAATTTATTTAAAACATCGAAGAGATAAAAAATTATATATTAAAACATATAGAGAAGTTGTTGATAGAAATCCAACACCACAAGCTTTAGTTATTTTAGCTGATGCTTATATGAGTATTATGGAGGTTTGTATATTTTATATATATATATACTCAGAAGACTTTTGATATATCGATATTTATCTATAAATAATGATAAGAATGAAGTTGAGTGTGAGAAGTTAATAAATGTATTGTCACCATCGAAAAACTGTTGCTAATTACAGGAAGACTGGTTTATTCTATCTATTTTGAGACACATTTCTTTCACTATCCTTTTACTTAATCCTCTAGAAATGCAATATGGAACTATTATAACGAGACATTATTGATATACGTTCAATGAAAGAGTTCAAATTTCTACTCTTATACTTCAACATTCTTTTTAGATTGTATTTCACAAGAAAGTCGATCATGTTATCGTTAGACTAGATCTTTGCATTAACAGATCTGGATATATATGATAATCGGAAAGAGAATTCTTCTAATTCGATAAGTTGAGATGTTCATATACACTAGCTACTTTTATCAAAAATACTGTAGCAGTAAATACGCATATGTAGTAAACATACTGTCGGATGAGTAATATGAAAATCGACAAAATCGTCAAGATTTTAGAAGAATGAAAACAGAAACTGAAATCTAGAGTCAAAAAGAATCGCCTCTCGCCTAAAACATTTAACCCTTCTCATTGGTATTCACTTCGAAAGATCTCATACTATTTTTTTTTCTATATAATAAATAAAAATTAATAAATATATATCAGTCACAGTTCATAATTTCATTTTCATTTTGAATTCAAATTGCTTACAATATATAAATCTATCATATTTGTTTATTACTATAGTATAATTAATTATTCTAGCCTGAAAACGCTATTGAAATTTATGATGCTGCACTTCGTCAAAATAATCGTGATATAACATTAATGAAAAAAATTGGTGAAGCATATATAAAAACTCATGCATATACTAAAGCAATTAAATATTATGAAGCTATTGTTAAAGCAGAACCACAAAGTGAACTAAGGTAATTCTCTTCTAAAAGAAAGAAAAAAATTAAAATCATTTCTTTTTTTAGAATTAATCTTGCTGATCTTCTAAGTAAATTAAATCAACATGATCAAGCACAACGAATTCTTGATCAATTACTTAAAGAAGAAGGTTATTATTTAAAATTAAAAAAAAAATAAATGTGGAAACCTCGGATTTAAATCCGAGAGTTATGTGTACTTCAAAAAGTGAATGAGACAGATGAGTCATCTTAGAATGTGTGGACATCAAAATTGTCCTGGCAAACCCTTTCCGTAAACACTTGATTTCTATTGGCTATTGCTCAACCAATACGATTTGGAGGCAAATACAGCTCAGATTTGAACTCTTCACCTTGATTTACCCTAAGAAACTCGTTTTTCGTATAACTTGATTTCTATTGGTTACTGCTCAACCAATGGGATGTCGAGGCGAATGGAACATAGATTGGAGTTCTCCATTCTAGAAAACCTCGAACTGTCATCTCTGTGATGGGAAGAACGAGCTCTAATTGTGGATCATATAGAGCGTGGACAAAAACAGAACCGAATTTCGATTAATTATCTTTGGAATAGGCGAGTTAGCTTTCTTGTTTCTTTATGTTTCATATACCATTTTGTAGCTCGTGAAATTCTCTATCGAATGGTATATAATAGTTGGGGTTTTATTTGACTATGATAGGAAAAGTTTTTTATGAAAACAGAGAAGGGTCTATCTTCTCATAGGGAAAAATGACTATTTTTGCAATAACTCAGCAATGGTTCGGCCAATCATTCTCATCTTCGAACTCGACCGAGATATTGTTAAGACTGAACTGTGTAGAAAATTTCATCGCGATCTGATTCTCCTTTCAAAAGTTATCGTGTAAACGGACGGCCGGCCGGCCGGACGGCCGGACACACTGACCGATTCTAGAGTGTACTCACTTTTTGAGTACACAAAAAGAAAGATAATTGTTCATGTTTGTTTTTGTTTTTCATTCAGTTCAAAATACAAATTTTCAACATGCACAACAAATAACAAGAGCATATGAAATATTTGCAAATATGTTTGAACAATCAAAACAATTTGATGAAACAAAAAAATATTTAATTCGAGCTAAAGAAAATCAAAAAAAATTACTTAAACGTATACAACTTGAAGAAGGTGATATACAAAAAGAAAATCAAAAATTATATTGCAAGTAAATATCGAAATTATCTTATTAGATTTAATTTAACGAATGATGCGAAACTTTCTAAACAAAAAGATTTGTTTATTATTGATCTGCATGAATATATATTCTCGACGAATGAAACATCATGATTTAGAACCAAAGTTCTATCCTCTTTACGAAGATAAACTTAGACTTATTGCATCTATTTTTATTCGAGACAAATGAGAGAATCTTGAAAAATTGGTTGGAATTTTGAACAAATCGATTTTTATTAACATCATAAGTTCGTTTATGAAGATACTAAAAATTATTAAACTGTGATAATTTTGTAGAGTAAGCATATGTGTGATATCGAACTAAACTGTCACTTTTACTCAAGTGAAGTTATAAGCATTTTCCTTAAAAGCTACATTCTTTTCGTCAACAAACTCGATTTTTTAAAAATTGAGGATGATAGAAAAACTACAATCTAGATAATTTATGGAAAGACAAAAAGAAACTCAAATAATACATATTATATAGTAGAATTTGCTCTACAAGTTGATATATATCAACAAAAATTTCAATGTTTAGCTTCAGATCCCAATCATGAAAACGTATGAAAAAATTTTCCGATCTTTCAAAAACCTAACTCACATAGTTTCATCCGTTTAGGAGACTTTCAAGTGGATTAATAATGAATAAAAATTTTGTCTAGAAACTTTTGCATCATCCATTATTCAATTTTCTTTTTTTTTTTTTCATTTTCAAGCATTTGTTATCGTTTGGCAACAATATATTTTGATGAACATGACTATGAATCAGCTATTAAAGATTTAAAAGAAGCAAGTGCAATTGATGATCGAAATTTAAAAGTGAGTTTTTTTGAAATGAGAAATTTCAACAATTATTTATTTTTATCATAGATTCCAATGATGTTAGCTAAAGCTTATTTAAATTCAGAACAATATGAATCATGTGAACAAATTTGTACATATATGAATAAAACATTTCCAAATGATAATTCAGTACAAATTGTAAGTTTAATTTTGATTTATGTTAAAAAAAGAAAAATCTTGATTTTGTTTTTGTTTTTTAAACATTAGATGATGGCAAATTATTTATTACGTAAAAATGAAATAGAAAAAGCTATTCAACAATATAAAGATATTATCGAACGAAATCCAAGTAAAACTTCTTTTTTTGTTTTTTAATTTAATTTATTTTATTTTTAATGTGAAAATAGATAATTTTGATCCATTTGTACAAATGACAAAATCACTTTATCGAGCTGGACGTTTGGATGAAATAAGTGATATTTTAGAAAAAACAGAACAAAATAATTTAAGAGCACATAATGATGCTGCTTTTAATTTTGCTAAAGGTTTATTAACTTAGTAAGTAGAATATCAGTAGAAGATTATAGCAAATGAAATATTTACCGAGAGATGTAGCTTAACGATCAATTGATCGATAGCTTTATCTTTCAATAAATCTAACTGCTAGTAGAATTTTCAAAAGAAACAAATATATCTTTCTCAAGGACAATAACACATACATTTAACTTGTAAATTTTATGAAACTCTAATAATAATTAGATTTATTAAATAGGTAATGTTTCAGGTCAAAATTCGTTTATTTTTGATTTCTCGACAATACTATGCTATGAAATCAAAAATTCAATCAAAGGTCTTGAACTTTGACATAATAGACTATTAACATGAACTATTTTGATCTTTTCTCAATCTTGTTAAGTTCGATTTTATAGACTAAACTTGAGATCAAAAGTGAAGAATCTTTTCTAATGGTCTATCAAAGATATTCGATCAAATTATTCTGCTATAGACATATTCTATACAAGGATTTTATAATAATTTCTATACAAATATTTGTATATAATACGACAGTAATTGATTAGTTGACTGAAAATTTATAAGTGCTGGAAAATACTCATGATTCGTCGGGACTGCAAGAAAAAATGTTGTTTTCATTGACACTTAAGATTATAATTAAATATTCTGTGATTTTAAGTGAATTATCTTATAAATCATATCAATTAGAACATAATTATTTCAAGAGTGATGACCCAAATACAAAAAAGTACTAGCCGTCGACGAAATAAATCAACCATAATAATAATCTATTCGATTGCTATTATGAAAAGAAATTTTTATTGAAGAATTGTACAGATTCTTTGAAATGTAGAACTTAAACTTTTTTTTTGTCATGAACTAAATCATTATTGAAATAATTAATATAAATCAGATGATCCTTGTAATTAAGAATATTGATTGATGTATTATGAACTATATAATATTCAAAATAATTTCAATTTAGTTATTTATGTAAACCAAATGAAGCTCTATTTTGTTTTAATAAATGTCGTCGTGATAAACAATATGGTCGTCAAGCTGTTTATGCTATGGTTAAGATTGTTTTAAATCCTGAAAATGAAATAATCTCAAATGAAGACGATTGGAAACGAAAATTACAAGGGTATGTTTAAATAAAACAAAAAAATAAAAAGTTTTTCCGTCTTTTTGAAATAATTGATTTGATTTTTCTAGTCCTCGATTCGATGAAGTTAAAGCTTCTCAAGCAACAGCATTTAATTTACTTCAAGTTAGTTTTCTAATTAATCTTTAAAAATTATTTAGAAAAACGCTATTATTTTTTCTTTAGAGTATGGGTGAAGCATCAAATGATATTCGATATCGTGTATTAGAAAATTGGTGTTTGGGTCATACAGGTGAAAAACATAATCTTGAACAAGCAACAGAAAATCTTTCACAAATTCTTAATGATCATGTAAAAGAAAAAGATTTTTGTTTTTTTTTTTTCCTTTATATTTTTATTATTTGATTTTTGTAGAAGGATAATGTTGGTGCCTTATGTGCTATAAGTGAATGTTTAATTGGATTAAAAAATAGTCAAAAAGCACGACAATATTTAAAAAAAGCAACAAAATTAGTTTGGAATATGGATGATGCCGATGAAATTGAACAATGTTGGTTAATGCTTGCTATGACATATGTTCAAGCAGCAAAATATGATGAAGCACTTGATTTATGTAAAAAAGTTTTAAATGTTAATAAGGTATAAGAAACCAAAAAAAAAAAAGCACAATATCATATTTTTTATTTTTTTATCTATCATTTTTTTCAAATCAATAGTGTTCAACAAGAGCTTTAGAAATTTTGGGCATGATGAATGAACAAACAGGTTCACATAAAGATGCTGCAGAAAATTATGAACAAGCATGGAAATATAGTAGAAAAAATCAACCATCAATAGGTAATATTTCGTTTAATCGAACTTCACAATATATTTAATCTATATTTTATATTTCACGAAAGATTAAATTCAGAGTAGAATCGAGTAAACAAAATGCTTCATGTTGCACATTTATTTGCATTACTGCCGGTTGGAGATTAATTATCGATATATTGTGGTTAGAAGATAGCCGAATGTTTAAATATCAAACTATCGTCAGTTGTCAGTGGTTTGAACCACGTTGGAAATCGCTGATATTATTAGTTTAATGATAGAAACTATTGGATACACATTCATCAGATTATTTGGAGAAGAAAATTCGAGTTTTTTTTTCTTTATCTAATAATCAAAAAAAAGTTAATTGTTTAGAACCTTTTTTTAGGATAAGCAGACTGCTTTGACGATAGTTTCATAACAAATTCTTTTATGATTTCCGATCTTAAAAAGTCTCATTAAATCGAAGATATAGTAAATTCCTCTTTCCAAGTAAATCAAAATAAAATATGAAGTAAAACATAAAGAAATAACGTGTATATAGTTTAAGCTTGAGAAGAGTATGAAAATGGAGAATATGCGTATATGAAAGCCTTCTTTTCATCTCAAATCCTGTACTGCGTATGTTAACTGTTATCATCTAGCGAAAATAAATTCCCTTATGCAATCCAATTACAAAACTAAGCTTAAGGGGACCCCCCCCCTTTCCCGACTCAAAATTTTCACATTTTTCATTTTTCATTTTTTGTGATTAGTATATAGATTTGAATGCCCTCTATCCATTGAGTACATTTTGAGAACTGAAAAACCACATCTTATATATAAAAAATTCGAAAAAAATC